AAAAGATATTAGAAAAAGATACAAGATATTATCAAGTTCTAAAAACATGATACACCATGGTGCTACTTTTGTAAGTGGAAGACCTCATATTGGTTTGATATTGATGTGCACTGTGATGAGATCAGGGCCTTCTCTTCAGCCCGTGCCGAACTCAGAAGCTTCTAATCACCTCCGGTGAGAGATATCCAGACTAACCCAGATGCTCGGAGCAGAAACATAACACTAATAAAAACTGCTTAATGCAGCAGCGTGCTGTTTTTCTCCTGCTCTGTCTCCCCTTCTCCTCATCCGTCTCTTCCTACTCTCTCCTCCCCGGCTGCCAAAAGAGCAGCCCCGTCCTCAATGGTGAGCAGAAAGCCAATTTCAACAAGCTGGTCTTTGGATCTTGCTGTGTTTTGGGTGCTAAGCTTTGTGTCTGGATCTCAGCTCGTTGGGAATATTAGCAGAGGAGGGAGTTTTATTTCCCTCTAAAGTTTTATCATAAAAATCCAGGCTGTTTCTGACCATGGCTTGAATACAAACTTGAGAAAGAGCAGTGGCAGCTGTAAGAGCTATTTATTCTTTGACTAATTTCCATGTCTGTTTTTGGCCTGGGCCTCTCTGAGACCTCAGGCTCTGCCGTCACGCTGCCCCCTGCAGTATGGAGTGAGAACTGATGGCGAATGTGACTGACTGCTTAAGATTTTGACAGCGTGTCTTGATCGGTTCAGGCAAAGAGTGAGTCCGAATGTATCTAAATTTACACTTTTTTGAGAAAAATTCACTCAAAAATTAATTCTGTCACCATTTCGATGGTGGAATAGACTTAAATCTCAGCCTTTTTTTCCTCACACAAAGCTATCATGATTTCAGAAGACTGTATATACAGCAAATACGTTTCATAGACCACTTTTTTGGTGGTTTTTAGAGCTTGACATTCCCTATCCTCATTCACTTCTATTGTATTGGAAAAGAGCAGCTTGGACATTCTGCTACACATCTCCTTTTGTGTTTTACAAAAGAAAGAAAGTCAAATTGGTTTAAAACAAATAAATGATGACAGAGCATTGATTTTTGGGTGAACTACATCTTTTCTATCAGCATAACTACTGACCGCACGTTTATATAACATGTACTTAGAGTTACATGCAATGGGGAAACTAAACTTCTCCCAGTGCAGAAACTGAATTGCGCTGGACGCACTACATAAAAGTTAAATCAAAATATAACTTATACTGATAGTCGGATGCAAATGAGCATGACTTCCCAATATAATGGAAAGAAAGTGGGGGGGAACGCATACGAGAGGTCTTCCACATAAAATAATGATCTGATAGAGCTCATCTTTAGGGAACAGTCAATAAATTGCACTCTGTCAGTGGTTAAGCTTCCTATTTGGAAAAGTTTGGTTTGGATCAGAACCAAAAGCCACATTTGTCGAACACCCCCATCCAAATGAGAAAAAAGGTCACTGAGATGCAGCGAAACTGATGAAAAACCACAAAACTCAAATCATTCCTTGTAAAAGAACGAGAAAACATTAATCGTGCCGTACCTTGAGCCACTTTAAGCCAGCGTGGCCGGAGTCATGCATTAGGTCATGAGAGCGCTTCGCACAGGCAGTGAGCAATGGAGAAGAAATAGAGAAAAAGAGGGATTACAGAAAAAGCCAAAGAGGCAACAGAGACAGAACACAGCAAAACAGAACAACAGTTTGAAACAAACCACGCAAAAGGAAATTGGAAGCAGAGGAAGAGGGGCTAGAGAAAGAGAAAGAAGATGGTAACCATGGATCCAACTGAGCGAGAACAGGTTCGGAGCGGAAAAGAGATCCATTCGGGATTGGGTCAGGCCAATGGGGAAAATCTTGTGGTGTAAGAGCAAGGGCGGTTTCGAGACATCCCATCATCCCCGGTCAACACGAGCGGAGAGATTGAGGCTTTCTTTGGTCCACTGCCTCCAGGGAAGGTTATGAAGGATGTAATTTCGCTGCTGAATCATGTCTGGAGACTGGACGTATGTTTTCATGTGGTCTTGGGCAATTTTTTCACTGGCCCTGCATGAGTGGCTGGTCGCTTTCGTACATCCCGGCCGTAAATTCCACGCTGGAGCTGAGTGACTGGTATCACTGCACACCGAAGGTTCTGTGTAGGAAGAAAATACCCCCCTTTTTCTCTCACTGACCACATTTACCCTTACTAGCACACGACTCATTAAAGCAGTTGCTGCAACGGGAGTTTGGCAGGACGCTAACGCTCATGAAAGCATCACCTAAAATAAGACAGGCTCATCCGCTAAACAAGCACATCGAACCGACTGAGAAAACATTGTTTTGACACTCCTGAAATATCAATTCTGCAAGGAAGATGGAGTAAGATGGAGAGAAAAATTAAAACCGGGGAAGTCTTGAAAAAAAGTAATTTGCCCAAAAATGAAAAATGTGTAATTCTTTACTCATGTTGTTCCAAATCTTCCAACTTCTTTCTTATGTGAAACACACAAAAATCATTTGATTTATTTGTCATTATTCATTCTTCTCTGCTGCAGCTCTCAAATCAAATATGCCACAAGTTTATATATCAAGACACGCAAGAACCCACTCCGATTCGCGTAAATTACTTAAAACCTGGTGCAAATAAGCCATTTTAGTGGTACATAAACTTAAATGTAAGGCTGTTTGCCACACAAAGCTATTATATGGCTTTAAAAGACATGGAGTATTGCATAGTTGTACAGACCATGAACACTGCAGCACTAATTTACAATAAGATCTAATTCGTTAACATTAAAGAATTGGGTATCATCAATTAACAATGAACGACTATTCTACAGTATTTAGTAGGTTACTAAATACTATTATTCATTGATACTTCATGACAGCACATATAACTTGAAATATCAAAAACATACATGCAACTTTTAATACATTTTTGGCATTATTTAAATTGTCATTGCTTTCCTTTGTATTTATTCAATAATTTGATGTATAAGTCATGCCTGTTGAGAGATGAGAAATTACAAATTAATAAAAAATAAATACATTTATGAATAAACATTAACAAAGATTAATAACTAAAAGACAAAAAAAATATTAATACATTTATCACTTAATATAAGTTATATTAATATATTCATAATTACAATAATTTATATATTAATATATTTATATGTAACTAATGTTTAAATTAAATATATTAATGTATTTATAAATTAACATTAACCAAAATTACTAAATGCTGTAAAATTAAAGAAATTTTATATTGTTCTTTCATGATACCTAATGCATTAAGAATTTTGACAAATTTAACCTTATTGTTAAACGTTTATTGTAAAAACTCAAAATTGCACATGGATTTAGAACTGGTAAATAATGACAGAATTCCATTTGCAGTCATCTTTCCCTTTAGGAAAGACTGAATAATGGTAGCATTCTAGCAGACGATGTTCACAGTGACCTGTGTAATTGTCAGAAATCTTTCAGACTTCATCTGGTACATATGAGAAGTCACAGGAACACATGTTTGGATTCATATTTCCAAATTTCATTACCTGCATGAATGGAGCAAACAACTTGTAGCTCTTCCATATGCACTAATTAAACAAGTGCACACATACACACACACACACACACACACAGACAGAGCTTTTAAGTGAGACGCACAAGACGTACAGACGCACAAGAGAGAACGGACTGTTTTTTGGCCACAGGTTTGCTTTCATGTCAGTGTAACAAAGAGCAGTCGCCCTCGTCCCCATACATTTAAGAACAACATACTGACAGCAATCTGTACAGGCACCGCACTCGGTCCAACATGTGCTCTGCACAATGAGAACAATAAGGATAGCGGCTATTGGAGGAAATTGAACACAGAGCTAAAGACGAATGCTTGCTTATGATTGGCACAACAGAGGGTGTGGTGAAGCAACAGAGGGATGTTAATTAAATAGCGGAGGAGAGACTCTGTGTGTGCGTAAGGAAAACCGTGTGCGTTTGTGTGAAGCTAATTAGATTATGCATGGTTTAATGCAGGACCACAAATTACGCATTTAAAAACCGGTCTGCCAATTGCCAGTGAGGCAAGATGCCATTCTCTTTTCTTTTTTTTTTTTCTCATAGCTCATAACTCCCAAAATATGTAACCCGGAATATGAGTTCATTCTTATATAACAGGTGCCAGGGTGGGGAGGAACTTCCAACAACGATATCCTGAGTGTGCGTAGCGAGACTTGATGCGGCTGGGACATTGGTAATGAGCATGGAGACTGGCTCCGGAGGGTGGCACTTGTACTGTCCCCATTTCCACTTCTCTCTGAGCCCAAATGAGGGGGCCGGCCAGGCTTAGCAGCAGCGTTGGCTCCCGCCGCAGCCCCCAGCTCTAATTAACCTCGGGGGGATTGGAGCGGAGGTCCGCCCGGCGGTGAAGAAACTCTAGGCCACGATATGTTCCCAAGACTGCATCGTGCACTGGGACGATGCTCAGCCAGCCATGCAAATCTTTAGAAAACGGAGAGAGAGCGAAAAGGAAGGAAACGGCGGGACGCCAGGATCCACAGAAGGTAGAACAAACCATTAAGGGTTTAAAAATGAAGCAGGGAGTTGATGACGCCAAGTAAGATGGACAGAGAGGGAGAAAGGAGAGGGAAAAGTTCAGGGATTCAGGTAGAGGGGAAGCAAGATTTTGGCAGCTGCTTTGCGCTCTGTTTCAAAGCCTGACTGGCTGCTGGTGTTGTCCGGTTCATGGAGGACTCATTTGGAGAAGGTTATAGGAGTTTGATGCTATCGCCAAGGCTCAACAGACAGCTGGACAGTGGTGCAATCTGCCTCAAAGCCTTAAAAACAGGTTAGACTGGGCCAGAACGACTCAAGTATGGCATTCCAGCAACTTTGAATCATAAAATAACAAATTATTGGCAGTTTATTTGTAAATTCAATCCATTTCCAGCATGTTCTACATCAGGACGCACATTCGGTCTCCATTTAGACCGTTGAGTTGCATTAAATGGATAATTCGCCACAAAAAAGGAAAATTCTGTGATCATTTACTCACCTTCATGTCGTTCCAAACCCATGAGACTTTGGTTAATCTTTAAAACACTTTAAAATGATAATATGTTTAATGAAACCTGGGAGGTTTCTGTCCATCCACTGAAAATCCAGGTTATCATTTAGATCCAAATTTAGAAGATCCAAAAAGGAGATCCATACATGGTATGTTCTACGTATTTGTGTTTATATGTGAATAATTTAAATCTTTTCATCATATAAAGCATTTATACCTTTCAAAAGACGTTTCATATGGAATTATTTAACAACACCTCTATGAACTTTCTGGATGTTCTAAGTTTCAGTTACCTGGACTTTCAATGGAGGGACCGAAACCACTCAGGTTTCACTAAAAATATCTAATAATTTGTGCTTCAAAGTCTTATGGGTTTGGAACAACATAAGGGTGAGTAAATAATTACAGAGCTTTCCTTTTTAGATGAACAATTCCTTTAAGTAGACCCAGGTAGAGTCTATATACAGTATTTACCCAATATTTTGTTTCTCTACCTTTAAAATCCCAGTTGAACGCCTGCTTAGGAGAAAGAAACGCCGACATGTTCTGTGCACACACCAGACGTTCCTCATGTGCGTATGCACGTTCTATGTGGCTGAACTGAATCGGACCAAAGTTAGCAGTCCTCACGCAGGACACGCAAAGCTTATTTATATTCTAAATGAAGACTGACTGCAGACACAAACACGTAACCCATGCATGCCACATGAATGTTGGCCACTGGCAAGGCGAGGCAGCGCTGGCATGGATCTGGATGGTTGGCACAGCTCTATGTGCTGGTGTGGTGATGTGCTGTGACAGGCCGGCTTTTTGCTGGTTCCTGAGCTCTGTGAAGGAGGCTTTTTTAATGGGAGCGATACTGTCCGCCAAGGAAAAGCCATTACAGCCCGGCCTGAGAGATGCTAGCCTTGCGTGGATGTGCATACAGCTCTGTGTAAACACTGGGAAGGATGTTTGACCAGGAGGATGAGGAAGTGGACATTTCCACAATGAAAAGATGGCTGTAGGGTTTGGCTAGCATCACACTGAAGTTACCGCACACATTTTGCTTCGGGTAACACATCACAGGTACACAGGACCTCTTTAGAAACATTGCTAGGAACATTTCCAGTAAACATGACAGTTTATCATACTTCAAAAGTTATCTGGATGTAGACTATGATAGCAGAAGTCTCAATACTGCCAATGCTGGCTGCCCCAAGCTAAATCTTTTTGTCAACTGGATTGATAATGTTGACAGACATCTCATTAAATTGAGATTTTTAAGAAACCAAACCAAACCAAAAACAAAACAATTCATTCATTCAAAAAAACGAAACAAAACAAAAAACACAAAGATAAATAAAAAGATAAAATAAAATGAAAATAAATATGATAAAATAAAGGTAAAATAAATAAAAAGATAATGAAATAAAATAATAAAAATAAAATAATAATAAAATTTAAAAAAATACTCTACTTAATAAACTACTTCTCTCTGAACTCAAAGGACAAGGCATTAAATAAAACTGGTCCGAAGGTTAAAAAAAAATGGCAAGTGAACAATACGTAGAGTCTGAAAGAGAGAGAAAACTGAAAGAGAGAGTAAGTGCATATTAATGATCTTTGAGCATCATCTCACCTGTTTCTCTGCATTTGCACGGGCAGATTCCTCTTGTGCCAACACCATTTCTCTCTCGGCTGTGATCTGTACGCTCTCACGCAAGGCCTCCTCCAGCTCCTCGATGCGCTCGTCCTTCTGCTGCAGAGAATCCTAGTGAAAAAAATATTTTAGTGCTTTAGTAAACATGCAACAAGACACTAAACTTGCCTATGAAGGTCTTTATCAATACAGATTTTTTTGTAGAAGGTCAGGAACACAAGACCAGTTTAATACCTAGATTTAACTGCCTTTTAACTGAAACTTTCTTATAAAACACAATTTCTGACTGTAAAATCTACTTTGATAAGCTGTTCAAAGATTGTAAACAGTAAGTACGCAGTCCTTATTAGAACATCGAAACTGACCGCTAATAACTAACAAGTGTAGCAGCAGGTAGCTCTGAGAAAGCAAGCTGCAGTCAAGTTCACAGCATGTGAGGTATAAACATTAGGAATTCTTGGACTGCGGTAAGTGAGGGCAACCCAAGCTGTCCATCTCATCGACGTGACTCATCTACAGTCTGCTCCCATGATGACTCAGCGCAGATCTATGACTCGACCGTCAAGAGAGAAATCACACTACTTCAAGTATCCACTCTTGAGAGAGTCAAGGTCAAAACCTAGTTATCAACAACGTCTGCGATTGATTGTATCAGGAATTGGAAAAACAGAGGGAAAATGATGGAAACCAAGAGAGAAAAAAATCTGATTGAAAGTGTGCTAGAGAGCGAAAGAACGCAATGGTTAGGGACTCAAATTAATAGGCATTGTGGGATACGTGGAGAATCGCCAGAGCAGTACTGAATATGGGAGCAGTCTTGAGTTCATTAAGCTGCTCCATTTCAAGGAACATTCACATTTCATTTTCCCCCCACATTTCAAAATCGGCTACAAAAGTCCTGACTCGTTTGGCAGGCCTGAGGCACTTAGTACAGACCTCTACAAACATGCACTCTGACGCACACAACCGAGCAAACAGACGCTACACACACATAACACACAAACTGCCATTCACACAAATGGAGCTCTACAGTGGTAATGGCCTCCATGCTGAGAAACTGCCTTCCAGCTAAAAGCATCAGCCTTCAATATGAAGACGGAGGCCTGATGCACACAATCCCAGACGCCGATGATCACAGCGAACATTTTCATCTGGAATCCCACACCACAAATTCCTGCTAAAAGAGGCAATGTGAAGGTACACAGATAACCATATGCATCTGTCGCTCTGCTGCAGACAATCCTGAGAGACAGATCAAGAGCTTGTAAGCTGTTTATGAAGATGCTTGCATGCAAAACTGACCATGACGATAACTTAACATTTTAATTTTACATTTATGCATTTGGCAGACATTTTTAGCACGCTTTTTTTTTTTTTATCTAAAGCAACTTCCTTTCATAGGATTCTTTTTTTCCAAGCATTTGCTGGTAAATTTGAACCCTTGACCTTGGCATCATTCATTTTAAAGCTACAGAAATGTACATTATACCTGAGGAATGTATAACTGATAAATAATTAATTTGTTCATAACACTTTGTTCTTAAAAACTCTAAAATTCAGAGCATCTTGTGATAAAAGGCAAGACGTTATAAAGATAATGTAAGAAATAAAGTTATAATCAGTTTGCAAAGATGTTAACATGGAAAACCTGACTGTGAAGGATTTTTTAAAATTGATTTTAAATTGATATTTTACATTTGTTTTAATGTATTTGGCAGATGCCTTTAAGCAAAATATGTTCAAGGTATACTTTTTCCCTTTTAAAAAAATCAGGGCATTAATCATTATCTGGGATATTATTGGGAAAAAAATGACCAAAAAAAATCTTTGGCATTTGCAACAATAGCAACATGCCATTTTTTATTAACCATTATATTTTATTTTGGATTTATTTATGCATTTATAATATATATTTATGCATGCTTGATTTTTGATAAAACTGTCTGTCAAATGCACATATATATATATATACAGTGGGTACGGAAAGTATTCAGACGCCCTTAAATTTTTCACTCTTTGTTGATAGACACTTATCAAAAATATATACACACACGCACACACTTTTATCCAAAGCTACTTCGATTTAAGATATACTTTTTCCTTTATTATTATTATTATTTACTTATTTGCATTCTGCAGGCTGTAACTGGGCATAATTGACACAGGATCAATAATCAAATCTTCAAGATGTAATTATAAGACTGATCATTTTGTCTCTAAAATTCCTTCCAACTACATGCATCAACTTTCAATATCAAGACGAGAGGCCTGATGCACACAATTTTCACCATTTTCATCTGGAATCCCACACCACAAATTCCTGCAACAAGAGGCAGTGTCGATAACCAGATGCATCTGTTGAATCAGCAGGATTTTTCTGTAACCAAGGTCAGCAATTACAGGAAGTTCAGGACACGAGGAGGGTGATGGGGGTACAGATCACAGCATGTGGTATAAAGGCTCTCTCTTCTATCTTATTTTGACCATATTTAGCTTCCACTTTCCTCTCGCAGGCAGACCGCAATCACTTTGGTTTGATTTAAAGTGACAGTAATCCTTTTTGCTCGGTCAATATCTCATTACGGTAATGCTTTTGGTGCCAAAACCACACAGATGATAGAAGGAGACACCTCAGGGAAGCCACAAATCAAAGCCACATGCTGTACCTTAGGGACCGGCCTAGTTCGGGTGGGGTTCGCTGGGGAATCTGTCCAGCTCTCCGCAGCTCATACATCCAATTAGGAGATGAGCAGGACGAGCCTGAAGAACAAAAGCTCAGCTCGCACAGTTGGGGCAGAATGACTTGCAGCTGTCTGACATGCTCACACTCACATGAATAATCGGCCCAGGGTGTCCTAATTCAACACAAACCCATTTCGTTCCCATCTGCGGCTTCTTTTTGGAAGGAACGGTACTGAAAAATGTGTTCGCAGTGTCACTGCACTGTCCCAGGACTCAAGCAGTTTCAGCAGTTCATTAGGGTGAGGAGTTTAGGTCACAGTAAGGCATTATTTAAAATAATCCAGGATGACCTCAGCCAAATGTCTAAGACAAGACGCAGCAAAAGTGGAGGGTTTGGTAGCAGATGTCCCTTAAAGCAGTCGTTTTTCCCAGCGGGAGGATTCTTCTGTACCGTTTTGGGTGTGAGAGCAAGGAATCACAAATGTTTATGAAAGAACCGGAAAGAGCAGCAGGTGTCCATCCTTCCTGGCTGGGGAAAGCGTAAAAGACAGGCAAAAGCATGGTAGCATCAAACAACATATGCCAACAAACAGGCCCAATAAAAAAGACCTTGAAAGTCTATTAAAGAAATGAGAACATGCGGATGTGATTCAACCTACCCCCACCATCTGACCCCGAGCTCCCGATCCTGGATCTGGTTTGAGTTGAAAAGCACGGATACTGGCGAAATGCTCTGCCAGACTGGACCGCATTTGGTTTTGACTCTTTGGAGAGTCAAGAGACACAACAAACCCAATCCACAGCAAATCCACAGTTGTTTAGAACAGCCATTGTACGAGGGAGACAATTTGAGAGGAAGTAGCTGAAAGTGGGCCACAATAAACTAGAGTGTTGTTAATTTGTGAACGCAATCAATAACAAGAAGGCCAGGAGAGGAGGGAATTAAAGTGAGTGACAAGCAGAAAGAAATCTAAGCTTCCATGACGAGCTCAAAACAGGGCTTTGAAACGCTCCCAAGAGAGCTGGATATCAAGCCTCTGGGTGCTGTGGTTACTGCAGATCTAAGAGCTACAAACACTGTTTACTTCATTCCTATAACCTCCAGTGATGTGGTTCTTTGAAGCGAGCCCTTTCTGGCATCTTCCAACTCTTTCTACATCTTTCTTTCAACCCCTCTCTCTCTCCCATCTTACACGGCTTTCTGCGTGTTCTACATCAAGATGATGGCTTGATGTTGGGGGAGTGGGGTAAGCCGTGTCATGTCGTAAATCTAGCAAATGGTATATGATTATTTTTTTTATAGAAAAAGCCCATCCTATTCTGCATATGATTGAGAAAAGTGACAGGCAGTTTTCAATGCTAAAATATTAAAATAATTTTTTACTTACCGTATTGACCCGAATATAAGACAATGTTTTTTTCTTGGAAATACATCTGAAAAAACGCGGTCGTCTTATATTCGGGCCAATACGGTACTTAATAAATATGTAAAATATGTTGGAGAATTGCCAATATAACTATGTCAATTATTTACTAAAGATTAGTCAAAAAAATAAAGATTTATGTAATATGTAATATGTATTATATGTTATAAATATCATACATGAACTGTAATTAAACATTTCTCTGATGAAAAATATCCTGAAATATACATCTCTATATATATTTTATATATATAAAAAAACATTTCAAAATATCAATATGAAGAAAAATGCATTGGAATTGCATTATGCATTAGTACTGTAAACTTTTTTTCCCCCCTTTTCATGTTCTTATTTTTATTTTGAAATTAAAATTTTTCATGTATTCCACATTGACTGTTACTTTTCTGATATATGTCATATTTCTATGGTTATAAGTAATAGATGGGGGTTTTTTTCATTTCTGGGTGATAGCAGACCAGTGTTGTTATTGTTAACTAAATCTGTAACAGGTAAAAACATTTTTTGCTAATTAAAATTCTAAAATAAACTTATTTATTTCAGTTAATATTGTCTTCTAATATTTTAAGTTGAAGTAATAACACTACTACAACAACTACAACAAAAAAGAAAAGAAAAAGGAATGAAAATAAATTAAGGCTAAATAGAAAAAAAAACTATGCCATAACAAAAAAATAAATAAATAAAATAGAAAATGAAATTGAAAAAATAAAATATGAAAATAAAATCTAAATTTAAAATACTTATAAAAGCTATAACGCTATTAGAAAATAACACTGATATATAATATTAGTTTCATTTTTCATTATAAGTAAAAAGTGGCACAGCCAACCCTATGCTTACGCTTCAGAGTACAAGCATAAACACCCATTAATGCTGAGTACAAAAAAAAAAAAAAAAAGATGAGCATGAGGAAAAACATCGTCCAGGTGTGTTAGGCCTTCAGGTCTCTCCACCCTCCACCTGTGGTTGTGGGAAGCTGACCTT